AGTCGAAGCTACCCGAAGCAAGTGAGCAAAAGTATCGTTTGAAAAGAAGAAAGGCGAGGAAAGTGGCGGAGAGAGAGAGGGGGTAGGGAGGAAGGAAATGATAGCAAAAGGCGGTGAAGTACAGAGAAGGAAAAGGAAAAGATATAAAGAGAGTCTATGGTGAAGAGGGAAGAAGGGGCGTGAGAGACTAATAGTGCTGATCCCACCGCAAGCACCGCTGGTTTAAGACCCGACTAAGTGGCGGATAATGAATATGCTAACGTGTGCCGAGTACGCGAGGAAAGCTTTGCACTTGGTATCGGGTTCAAGCACCTTCCGGACTACTGTTCGTGTAAGCCTCTATACCTTTTCCTCCGTGTATTGTGGTTTTCATAAGCTTCGAACTAAGACTGCGAGTAGTCGACGAGCACCACCGGGGCAGAGCTAGGAAAACCATTGGCGTCGGGATTCAATTCCGCCGACTGACATTCGATTAAAATCGAATAATAGGATCCCAGACGTTCGTCATAATAATACGTTTTTCCCTACGTTGACCCAAAAACGACAAGGGTCGTTGTCGTTGTCGTGTACTCCGAACGCGTTCGACGCGTTAAATCATAAAATCCTCGATGGGTCGGGGCAAGGTTTAATTAACGGTCGAAAAAAAAAAACGTACGGGATCGTTTCGTTGTTTATAAAACACGTTTTCGGCCAAACGTTCAGCGATCCTTTTTATTTAATTTTGTGGAATCATTTCTCTACCAAGCATCAAAATTTAACAAATTATCACCCCCTGTAGTTAAGCACCGCCATAGTGTACAGACACGATTCGAATTTATTCTTCGAGCGTTTATATAAAACAAAAGGGTGGATAAAGGCTGATCGAAATAAGCGAATGGAGATTTATTACACTTTTATTCGACGCACGCGTAGGGTAGCGTCGATGGATAAACGTGAAATATGTTTTTCGATCGAGCGGATAAATATGACACTTTCGAAAATTTCGGTACGAACGACTGCCGGTGCCTTGACAAAGTGGAAAGACTAGTAAGATTGCCCAGAGGGAGGCCACGAATGTCTCGGTGACCGATTCTGTTTGAGAGGCAACCCTTGCCGGAGGGTGTCACCGGGGTTAAAATAAACACAGGGTGAAGCTTTCGGGGTAGGATACAGTTGAAACGTATCGTTCCGGCATGACCACGTGTGCTGTACAAACAGGGGAAGCTTCTAATATTACCAGCCACTGTGTGCACATACAGGCTGCTTCACCGGGAGCATAATAATTCGACGCTGGACGATATCAGAATTTAAAAAAAAAAGAGCCCAAACTGAAACACGAAATACTACGATCACCGATGCTCGTGCTTCTGATCGATAAAACAGAGAAAAGTGAATTAAATTCCAAGCCTTCTCGTGTTTAAATAAATTGGAAATATCTTACAATGACTTATTAAAACTAAACAATATATTATTATTATATATAGGAAATACACTAAATCGTGAAACTTGTCGCGTTTATATTAACTGTTACAATGTTGCAATTGATACTCGTGAAAGAATTTCCATTTAGAACCATAGCAAAGAATCAGAAAGAACTTACAAGTCTATAATCTAATGGTCTGAGTTAGTTAATAGAGATTATAAAGAGTATATTAGTCCAGTTTGAACGGATTATTCTCTACCCTTATGTTACATTTTCCTGAACAAGTCGACTAGGTATACAAGTGTACAAAGTTTCATCCAAATCGGTGACCAGTCGTTTAAATATACAGCGATACCCACTTAAATGCGAACGAGTTATCACCATCGTTGCTTAGAATTGCTCGAGTCAGACATCGGAACGAACGCTGCTTGTATTTAAGAGGACTTTTAACTTGAACAACGTTGCGTGAAAAAACCAAACGGGTTAAAAATTGTTTTATTCGGATCCGTTGGTGGCAATAGAGGCTGGGTGTCGCGTCGAGGATCTTTTTAACGTAAAAGCGACCGGTAAGCGAACACCGACACTTACGGATTCGAAAAATCCCCGTGCGTTCGGACGAAACGGGGCTTAGGCATCCACGGGTCACCTCGCAGCGACATTAGATACGGCTGTTGGTTCGTTGACGAGGCAACAAATTTCCCGGGCAATTCACAAGCACGGGAGGCTGTGAGGGGGGCAGGAGGGGGCAGGGTCGGGCAAGAGGAGCGAGCAAACGTGCAAGAAAGGGAAAGAGAGAAAGCTAGGCGCGAGGCTCGTTGTTCGTCGCGGTGGAAATCTCGAAACGAGCAGCGGTTGCCTGACCTGACAGTACGTAGCAGCCGACAGGGCCGTATTTTCCGTGTCCTGGAACACCCCCCCCACCACCCCTCTGGGCACGAAATTGAGAGGGCTCGCCGAGGGAGCAATCCGAAGTTCACTAACCGTGGAAATGGCACCGAGCACTTCGATGCGACGCGACGCGACGCCGCGCGGAGCACGCGAAAAAAAGGGCGAACATGCCTTTCCGGAGATCATCCCCCACTTCTCCGCACTTCATTTTTTTCCCCTCTTTTAAAATACATTCTCTGCCCCGCGAAACCAACCGCGTTTCCTTTTCCCTTCGACCACGATCTTTCCTCGCTGCTCTCTATTCACTCACGGTTACTCGTACGCGTGCAATTGGCGACTCGTTTCTTACGAATTCTTTCGATTTTAGAAAATCGATTTGTGAAATCGTTCGAGATAACACTCCAGTATACTGTCTACATATTGCGTGCCAAAATTTTCTGGAAAATCGAACGTTTTTAGAACGAACGCGCATCTCTCCCACGATCGAGCATGATTTGCTATGGCGACGAACGGAAGCGTCGATCAAAATGGAAGGACTTGTGGCATTTTGGTAAAATCCGAGAACGAAAAGACGCGTGGGAGGGTTGAAACGAAGCGTAATTAAACGCGTTCCTCGGCGAACGAAGTCTCTCATGGTCTCGGATATGGTGCAATGGTGGCTTCCTTGTGCTCAGTTGGCAGTGTCTCTGGCTCGCATATAAAACACAAGTGTCGTGCCGAGGGCTTGCGCGTGCTCTCGCCGCGAAGATAACGAACAGTCTGTATTCTCGTTAGCAGCCATGGCAGCCGTTAAGATAACAACGAGACACGACACTCACCGCGAGGCCCTCGGCACGAAAAGAAGATTTAAAGTCGTCTTAGGATAGCGCAACTTTCATAAATTAGTACCTAGAGCGAAGAAGCCACCATCGACGCGGATCGCGTGGGACGGGCCCCGTCGAGTTTCTGGCCTACGGAACCCTAACCTTCGGGGCCCTCTCGCCGTGAATTTCATTCAACGAAGAACCCGGGAAAGCCCGTGGAAGCGCAATTATCGCGACGCTAACTGGTTTAAAGTTCGTTAAATTTTACAATGCCCCCGGAACGGGATGTAATTTGTATAATAATTATCGCCTCGAAAGATTCACGATCTTCGCTGCTCCGAGCGAACTATCAATGTTTTTTTTTTTTTTTTTGAAGCTTTCTTCTTTTGGCTCGTAACACCTCGAACGACAGCCTCGATCTCGATCTCGATCTCTATCTGGAATTAATTTTATCTCTCTCTCCGGGGCAGGGTGTGTCCCAGCAACTGGGACAGATTTTATCTGCAATTTGATGAGAGATAAAGAAGAAAGGAAGGAACATTTTTATTCCATTTTAACGTTTTGCAATTTTTTAAATCCTTTGGAATTCGAATCGTCGTGTCTTCGGTGTAAGAAAATCCCTTGTACAAGGAATGGTCACAAAAAAGAATAGATTTGTTTTACGAATACCTCGTGAATATAAAAATGTGCTGATTTTAAAGACTCGATGATGACCGAGTAGCCTCATGATTGTGAAACTTGACGAGTCAGACTCGTAATTGTAAGGCAAGGGGTTAATAGGAACGCAGAAAATGAGTAAAAAATAGTGGAGCAGGAAACGATAGTTCCAAATATTCCGATAAAAACCACGCAAACCGCAATATCGTACGATTTAGCGTCGGTCTTCGGGGACGGACGAAGCGTTTAACGGGCGTCGACCATAAAACACCGGGGATAAAACGAGGGAAAAATGACTGGATTCGGGACGAATGGGTGTCCCAGGTACGAAATACCGTCGCGTTGATTGGTTATGAAAGTGTCTCGTACGAGGTTCGCGAGTCGAATCGGTCGCACAGTTGTCAGTGGTTGACCGTTAATTTAGTAGGTGCGGGGGAGGATTCGTAGTCGCGGCGGAGTAGACAACAAATCCAGTGTGTTACAATCACACGAATGGAATGTAGTACGCGAACGTGTACACACGGATCCACGGTGGTGCACGGTTGTAGCATCGCGCGAGCATGAATACGTTCCAGCATGCTTTCTCGCGCCGGGAGATCGTTATCCCCGCGGTGGTTTCTGACTCTAGACAAACCTACATAAATCGAATGTCTCGAGATTGCTGGGGGGGGGGGGGGGGGGGAGGGGAGAGCCACCACACGGTTGGTAGCCACTTTGTAACAGTACCGGGAAACAGTTGAAATTAATAGTAATAACGGGGTAATAAGCGGATTCCATTCTTTCGTTCTCAACGTACCGGCAAACAAACCACGACAAACCGTCGTACAACTCCGAACGAGTACGCAGAGTTTTAGTAATTTGGTACAAATTGAGGCAAAATGAAATTTAGCAACCCTGTGTGTATAGCGATCGAGCGAAAAACATTTTTAAATTTGAAAACCATAGTCGTACCTAGCAAACAAACAACGACATTCCTATTCGTAACAGCGTACTCGAGGAACATTTTCAAAATTCGTTCGGTTGTTAAATTTAGATCGAAATTGTAAATTTAAAAATAAAATTGGCGCCCTAACAAAGCATCGTGTAATTCGATATATTTTCTGTTTTGTTTGGACCGGAGTTAGAGAAAGGCGAGCGATCGTGTCGCGAAAATGCGAGCAAGTACGGAGGGGCGATCCCCGGATTAATAGATCACCGAGAATAGCCCATTCCAAATTAGTAGTGATTAACGTCTGTCTGAGAGTACTTACGTTTGCAGGCCTTACGATGCGTGATCGGTCTCGCTGGGTCCCTGTAGTAACCTTCCCGACAATAATGACAGTGTCTTCCTGCCGTAAAATGCCGGCACTGCAGACATACGCCTCCGCTGACACGGCCAGACAGCTTGTACAGTTCCATGTTGAATCTGCACTTTCTCGCGTGAAGATTGCAGTTGCACACTGAAACAGATACACACGTTGCTTTATTCCACTACCCCAGCCTCCTGCTTTCGACGAAATCAATCTTGCCCTCCAAACCAGCCTCGATTCTCTTCAACAGAAAGGCTTAAACTACTCCAATCTCGCTGAAAAGTTACCCATAATTCGCTCTTTTTCGTCCGAGTGCTCGAACAAACAGGCACCAGAAAAGCGTGTCAATTTTTCTTTAACTCTCGGGTGGATTATTGGTAGCTCTGCAAGTTTAAACTAATAATAACTATTTGAAAATTTATGTAAGCCTCTATAAATACTTTAAAAGAAAGTTGATTTCTATTTACCATTTACCAATTGGTAAAAATCGACATTAAATGAAATAATTCAAATGTATATGTGATTTTCGATGAACAGGGTTGCGAAAAAAAACTACCCCCGAGTCTCTCCTTCCAACAAAATCAATCTTGTCTTCAACGAAGGGGCGGTACAACCCGAATTCTACGAAACAGTTTTGCTCAGATTTCCATCCGCAAAATTAATAAAATTAATTTGCTAAAATTCGTTCGTGTCATCCAACAAGAATTAATTGTAACTCGAATCACCGCACGATGGAAATTTTTATAATCCACATGTAAATAACACAGGTTGAACCGTTTACGATAAAAAATAGTTAAAAATAAATTTCCGCCTCGTAATTTCCTGTTTATACCCGGCGTGCTGCAAATATTAACGGATCATCTGATACTCGAAACTTGTCGCGTCTCGGTGCAAATAAATTATGCACCCCCGTTGAAATTGCACGTTGGATACAATGAAGACTCGAACCCGTTTCTCGTACTTCATTTCCGTTAACGTCATGCGTTAACAATTCTTTGCGTATTATCCAGGCTAGGGTAGAAGGTATAGTCACCTCTTAAACGAAATCAATACCTAGACAAGTTTGCTCCGCGATATGTAAACGCTTCCTATCGTACGTACGCGGTGGATAAAAATCTGTTTAAAAAAACGCAGTCGCGTCTGTCTGTTTGTTAACGCGTCGCAAAAAAAACTACCCAGGGACCCAATTTCGTTTTCAGATGAAATTTCGGGCATGTTCACGGCGATAATAGGCAAGTTTTCGTAGCAGGCTTCGATAAATATTTTTGTTGCTTTCACGGACACATTTTCGATAGAATCGATACCTGAGATATCGATCTGATTCGCGTTTAGGGCTCTACGAGAATGGACAGAAGCATAACGTGGTCTGGAAAGTGTTATATTTTTTTAGAATCCAGCAGTCGAAGCTACAGAGATTTATGTTAAATTCAATATTGTGTACTATTAAAAGAAAAACCACATTTTAATCATATAAAATGGTTCGTAAAAGGGCCAAATAATTTTTGCTATATCGCAAATTACGTATTTAAATTTAAATTCTCTTTCTAAAATGAAACAAAAACGAATTGTTCTAGGAATTTCATACTTGACATACGCAATTTATTTCAGTGTTTTCACGCGATGTTTCTGCACTGTAATCGATGCAAATTCGTACACGAAATCGATCGCGATGTTCCAACAGGAATTTCGTCGACAGTGTGTACTTTGGACACTACATTGTGGTCTTGGTAACAGCAAAAGGCAGTCAGAATAGAAATTCCTGCGGTTATAATTGGAGTATGCAATCTTCTCGTGTCAATCACGGTTGTCCGGGCACAAATGGGAACCAGTTTCGATAAGTAGAAACTCTAGTTTGGAATGCAGACCGCATATAAATACCCTTAATATTTTCAGTTTGTTTATGGTTAATCGAGCCAAGTCTCGCGTTCGATTTTCGCGAGTTAATTTTACGAGACCGCGCGCGTCTCGAAGGTACTTTTTTCTTCGTTCACGGCGTCGCGACGGATATTTTCCCGATATTTATCGCGATAATAAGCCAGGAGCTTGCTCGCCCGCAGAGAGGAGACAACGGCCGATACGTGTCTTCGTTTCAGAAACGATGACAGTTTTCCCGCGCGTCCTTCCTGCTTCCGCTTTGTCTCCACTCCCCGCGCCAGTCGCGTCATTTCCTTCTTTTCCAGATTCCACGGCGAAGTTCCGTGGCCGTCGTATCGAGCGCAGAGTCCATTGAATTCTCGAGAACCGAAGAAGTATCTCCGAGAAGAATCGTGCCGTAACTTCCTCTACTCGAGCACGCTGCCCCCGACGGTTCTTATTCGTGACTTCTTGAAAATAACGGAATAATTGAAAGGCGGATACGCAGGGGGAGGGGGCAGAAACGAGGGTGTGGGATCGCGGAATCAGTAGGGAAGCTGCAATTTTAACGAACCTTCTCGATGCACTCGTACACAATCACTCGACCCACTAATCCGTGTGTCAAACCCACGAGAGAATGTTTCGTTTTCCGGTTTCGGGATGCTCCGTCCAGGCATTTTTATCCCCCCTCAAAAAGAAATCGTCTAACTACAAGAATTGCACATTTAAAAAAAAAAAATTAATGGAGGAAACCACTGTTTCATAAACTTTTTTGATAAATGTTTAATGTTTTCGAAAGTACATTTCTTGAACTACTTCTTGTAGAAAGTACACGAAACGCAAACTAATTCCTATACAGATACAAAATTATGTGAGAAAGCGAAACATTTGATATAACGTTGACATTGTAATTTTTTTAGTACGAAGTTAGATATCCTTTGACTGTTTTTACATGTATTTAAACTTTATTTAACATTTTTACTTTGATTATCGCGTTCCGCTAATATTTCCAGGCCTGTTATTAATTTTGTGCAATATACCATCAACGAATATTCTCTATTAGTCTCTTGGAACATTTTTCGACTTAAAAAAGGTAAAAATTAGCTTCCGCGACGGGAGAAAAACGAGATTTCATCTCGTCTACCCGTAATTTGTTTTCTGGTTCTGACGGGGAAACGTTGGTTGAAAAATCACGGAGAACATTGAAAAGCGTAGACATTGGGCAACGTACCGTTGGATTAGTTGCGAGACACCCGGGATTCGATGCACAGGATAAGGCCGTGGTCGTTAAGTACGAGCGGAATATAGCGTGTCAGATCGATCGAATAACCTCTCGATAGTTAATAACCTTGTTCAGCCACCGTCTGAAATTTCTTGATCGATTCCTGTTATTAAGCTGTGTTGGCTGGCCACGCTCAGGCCTCGGGTTGTTTTCGTAGAGGCAATCGCTGTAATTAGCGATTAACCGTCGTATAACCGATGCTCTGCGTCTTCTGGCTTTTCCCTCGCTCCCCCAAAACCGGCCATTTTACGCTCTCGGTCTCCTAAAGATTTATTGCACGCCCTCGAAAAAGATTTACAAGCTCGCGTCTCGATCCAAACGTTTCTCGATCTTCCATACCTGTTTTCGCGCCTCTATCCTCCCCCAATCTCATAATCTCGTCTCTTGTCCAACGTTACAACTACCAAAGCAGAATGTAATTCTGCCCCTTCGTAATCTCTCGGCTGAGTTTTTGAAAAATTTCATTTTCTATACGAGAATGAATAAACTGTTTTAATTTCTTTGGTACAAATAAAAAGACTATAATTATCAGTAGTTTAAACACTTTATTTGAACCAACAAGGTGAGTTTGGAAGCCTGGAAATTGAAACAATTCTCAAACGAACGGAGTCTCGATTAAGTTTTGATCGATGTTTTAAACATTCAGCGTGGTTTTGGAAAATATTTGAGTAGTTGCTTCGCAAGACTCGATATAAACTATGACACCCGCCGCTGGTGGATGCTCCCTCGTTGTTTACAATTTTCTCGGTAATGAAACGGATCGGCTTTACCAGATGCGCGATAATTATCGTCTCGGGATTTCATTACGAAATTACAGCGAGATAATATATAGGAAGCGGCGAAAGGAGCATAGTCTTTACTCGCTACAAGCCTGACAAACGTGTAACTTTAATTACGGCGAAATTTATAAAACGCGTCGCCGTAATTGATACGTTCGTGGCTCGTTAAATTATCGTCTCGTTTCCCCTCGTTTTGTTTACCTTCACAGGGACAGTTTAAACAAAATCGTCCACCTTGTGAACAATAAGATCTCGTATCAATTTGTGGAAAAATGTGAAAAAAGTGTCTGGAAGACACGTTGTTTTAAGAAGATTATGGTGAGTGTTTCGCGTAATAGTTTATAGTCTGTTCACACCGGACGAAACAATTGATAAAGATCCGTAATGCGAGGAAGTGGGTGTAATTCGTAAAAAATTAACAGCGCACCAGCCGGCATTAATAAATAAAGCACGCCAATTTTGCTTCGTAACGGTGCTCGACTCGACTCGTTTTGCATTCGCACATCTCGAGGTACTCGAAATATTAATTCGTTATCGTGTTTCACTTAAACTTTCATATTTTCAAATAAAATTACGATTTATAGAAAATCTGAATATTTTTCTTTTATTAAAGAAGTTACTGGCAGCTTCCATTTTTTAACTCATCGCTGGTAATAACAACGATCGATTCGTGATTTAAAAGAAATTGAAAATCATATAAAAAATACAGATTCTTTGAAACATTTCGTTTATAAGGTACAAAATTTAGCTTTTACGTTTCTCTAATACATATGGTTTAGTCTTACAATTTTCTGAGAATGATCTACAGAACTGTTCACTATCTCTGATCGACGCACGTTAAGCTGTGCCAGACGGATCCATTGTATCGCACTTAAATCGAGCCAATACGGTTTGGCGATCGCTTTTAGACGATAGAGCAGTAATTAGAGCCGTTCCTGATGTATCGGTGGGTCCTTGGGGAGGACTATTGTCACGAGTAGACGTCGAGAATTATGGTTCTGTGAAATTTCAATAAGAGCTATCTAGTTGCCTGCACTTAGCAACCTTAACCATATTACAACCTCCGCACACTTTGCTTTTGTCAAAATTACGAAGAGGCTGCGCATAAATTGCCTGATGCAATTTAATCTTTCGAGCATGATGCACCTAACCCATCGAAGGCCTTGAAATTCAAATTGTTCGGGACTAGATTGTATTTCGAGTTCAACGAGAGATTAAATAACTATGGCGGGAAA